CAGTGTGAGTGCAAGAGCAGCTTGTTGTCCTGCTTGCTTCAGGGTGCGGACATTGAACGCGGCCAGATAGACTGGGTGTCGAGGCTTGAGGACTGATTTGGAGATGCCTGGAGATGTCGGCACCATGTGATGAGCAGATGCTGCACGCAAAACCGATGCACGACGAACGGCGTCATCAGTCCTAAGTGCTGGGCCTACAAGGAGAGAGTTATTAATGGGGTGGGGAGAGGGAGAAGAAAAAGTATGCGAAGGAGAAAGAAGAGAGGCGTCAGCAGTAGCCTGTTTTCGCTTACCCGCCCTGCTGTATGCAGCAAGTAGGGCGAGCCGGCTGATGGCACCACGCGACGGCCGATGTGGCATGAGTTTATTCGTGTATGTGCAGCTCATGTTTGTAGGTGGGCTGGGATACTGCCAGGGCGCCCACACCTAGACAGGAGGACGATTAGGGTCCTGAACCAGTCTTTGGCTCAAAAGCCTAATCACAAGGCAGCGGCGTTTGGCGGGAAATGCAAATGCATCACCATTTCTACGGAACAAGTCGCCATACATTTCAAACCCCAAGCTGAAGGACTAAGAGACTGTGTTCCTTAGACATCTAACCATTGACCAACCTGGTATGGAGAGACCCTGTGAGTGTCGCCGGGACACCCCATAGTATAGCTCAATGGGTCGATGAGGTGTGCAAACCGTTACACCACGATAAGGTCCAGTCTCTTCGTGACGGTCTGGAGTACGCTGGCGATTATTGCAATTTGATGGTTTACCAGGACGGTTAGAGTGGTGGGACCCGGGTGCCCATTCAGTCTTGCAGTGACGAGGTCTTTTTTGACCGAACGAACGCAAGACAAGTATTTTCCGTGTACCACAAAGCACTTCTAGATTGCTTAAGTAATTCAACGTGAAAGCAGGTGCAAGTGAATGGTGCTCTTTCGAGAACACCAAAGTATTTCGTCACAAGGACACAACCATTATGCCATGGAAATCTGAAAGTTTCTCTAGCGTTTTCCCACGGGTCAGTATATCCGACTGCCACAGCTAAGGAGTAGTTATGAACGGAGGCAGTTGTTTTTACCAAACTCGACCTAGCCGACGCATACTTGCAGAGCGAAATTGTGCCAGTGTTCCGATCTCTACCGACCATCAACAAAATCATCTACAATCTGGAGTTAAGACAGCCCCTGGGATCTCCAAACAGATGATGATGATGATCATCATCAAAGACAGCAACATCAGTGTTGCCACTGGTGCTTCACTGGCGTACAACCATAAAGTTCGTTTAGTTATATATATATATATATATATATATATATATATATA